GATCCAGTATGTCCACACATATACACACACCATTGAACCAAAGTTTTGTGAACAATACTGAAGCTTACTTAAAAGTGATGGACTCCTTATTTCTATTCTATTCTATTCTATTCTATTCTATTCTATTCTATTCTATTCTATTCTATTCTATTCCATTCTATTCTATTAATTTCATTCATTTCTATTTCAAAAATACGGATTGATACTCATTAAATTGATTATACAACCCAGTACTTTTACTGAACTGTGTTTGAAAAGCACCTTTCTTGGGGCCCTCATAATGGACTTAGTTCCCTTATAAGAAGAGGAAGTATCATCAGAGCTCTGTCTCTCTTAGCTATGTTAGGACACAGGGAAAAGGTAGCCATCTGCAAACCAGGAAGAGAACCCTCACCAGGCCTGCCCCGATCTTGGAATTCCAGCCTCCAGAACTATGAGAAATAAATTTCTGTTATATAAGCCTTCTTTCCCTTACCCACCCCGCCCAAAAGAAAGAAAATCATCTCTGAACACCATGACACATGGCAGGTGTTTAGTAAAGATATGTTGAATTAATAAAAGTTATCAGAAAAATTATACACACCCACATATGCACGTGTGTGTGTGTATATATATATATAATTTTAAAATATCCAGAGCAGTAGGCACTCATCACAAGGCAAAATAAAAATATCAAGATTCACTTTCACACTCTTTAGATAACAATCAAAATAGAAGGATTAAAAAATACATATAAAACTCAATTGAAACTAAAGCAATAGGAAGGAATACACTCAATGTTTCTCCTCCTTATAATTAGGGATCCTTAAATTGCCTCTACATTCTCAGACAGTCCAAGAAATATGATACTCCAATTTATTCAAGGTACTGATTGTCCTACTGAGATTGCATTCTTTCTTCTTTCTTTGCAGTTAATCAGTGTGACACAATTTTGGTGAGAAATGTCTTCAATTTTAATAACATATTAGAAATCAAAGATAGCTTAATTCATAGATATACTCAGATGTGCATTTTGAAGTTTATCAAACTTGTCTCTCTGGAAATGTTTTATTTATCAGAAGAAAAATTTTATAATGGGGGATTGAGAGGAGATATAGGTCAAACATGAAATTAGAGAAGGGAGTGATTTGAAAGATATGGGCTGGGACATGACCCAGATCACGGATGAAGGAATCTTATATATTTACTGCTCCTTAGTTTGTCTTGCTGAGAAAAAAATATTAATTACATCACCTTTATGATCATTTCTCCTCACCACATACCCACACCCCCACACCATCTTTACAAGCTAATATCTCTCAGGGGTCCTTAGAGAACTACTTAATATTTGTGAAACTCTTGTAAAATTTTCAGGAAGATGCAGGATCTTTCCATTTTCAGTTAGCTACCCAGGGTTTTATGTTAGTACTTTGAACCATGAACAGCTTTGTCAACTCTCTTCGGCCCAAAGCAGAAAATGTTTTGGACAGAGAAATAATCTGATTCAATAATGAATATAGTTCTTCATTTAAGGGAATAAATCTGCAATTTTAAAATTCTGAAACTTTCACCCCTAAAGGCTTTATATAGTGTTCTACAAAAATACATTTGCTTAAAAATTCCAGTTAGCATATTATAAATAACAATATTTATAAGAAACATCTCCTTATCCTGAAGTACTAGGGCAACTGTAATGTTCTTGATTTTAGTAAGGAACATGAGTTACACCTTTTTATAATACAAGAGGAAATTCTAATGTCTTTCAGAGCAGAACTAATCATGTTAATTCCATTCAGAAAGTATATGCTTTAAATTACACGTATGTTTAAAGAACTCATGAATTATGATTATTGCTGGGAGAATAAATATCTTATGAAACGGCTGAAAGACAAAAGTGATAGATAGTCTAGCAAGAGATGGAGTCTCCATATATAGAAAAACAGATTGACAGTCTTAGAGAAAAACACATTTGTAACGGTTTTCACCCTCTCTCTTCATTCACTAGCATTTGTATGAAGTAAAGCATCAGTACTTTTAGGGTAGACAGATACATCAAAATCTGTTGGGAGAGTTGTTGCTTTGACTAGGCATTTCAAATTTCCTTTTCTTGAATATATGAGAACTATGATTGCTATACAGCATTGAATCTATGAATACAATGCTACCAGTTTCTTCAAATGAAGTAAAAGGTATGCCATTTCACTTTTCTCCTATATACGTATTATAGAAAATTCCTTTTGTTCAAAATAAAAATTCATAGAGGAAAAAAGCAAACATCTCCATTTAGCTGAAATACTGAAATTGCATGTAATCTCTTAAGGTATGCTGTTTTATTTGTTTTCAAGCTTGGCATTTCCATTTGTTGCTTTTCAATATCAGTTTCTTGACTCAATTCAATCAGCTGAAATGTATCATTAACAATAATCAATAGTTTTAGTAGTTTACAGTTTTTACCATGTCATCTCCAAGTCTTTCATCAAAAGATCATTATCTAGCCATCTGACTAAAAATCAAAGTTGGCTCTAAATGTCATTTCAATACATAAAAGGTAGTTTAAACCTCGGGGATGTGGGATTTATAGAAAACACAATATTAACTGACAGGGAAGAGGGAAACGGTCTCTGTTTTAAAATGATTTTGGTATCTTAGTTAATCTTATTATAGTTAAGACGTAAATGTTAAGGTTTTCAGGAGCTCTATGGGAGTTTTATCTGGTTTTGAGCATAAATATAGTTTATCACTTTGGGGTTTAGGCAGTAAAAAGCCCCTACCCTATTCCCAAGCTCTCTTTTTCTACCTCAGGTACACTGAAAGTTATGTGTAATATGTGCCCTAGCTCAAAGACGGAGAAGAGTAGCCTGATTGACATTGGACTTTACATGAGCAACAAATAAACTTTGGTTTGGTTAAGCCACTGGACAAATATGAATAAATACATTTTCTTGAGTAACATGGCATAAGCTAAGACATTTTCTCAGCATAATTTTCAAGTGTTTTTGAAAGAGATCAGAAATCTAAACATAAAATGTTTATTTTCCATTCTTCTGTAGTAAATATAGTTAGGACACATGGTGACTCTTCCTTTTAATGATTTAGAAGCTTGCAGTTTCTTAGGATTAGAAATACGGATACATTTTTACTACATAATACAGCAGCTATAAATACAAATTGTATGGTAGAAAATAGATTTATTTTTGTATTTTTGCTCTTAACTAGAATTATTCACTATTTTAAGAGATGTTTTATTAAATCCCTGACATTAAATTATTTTGTCATCATTGGGTTATTCTTTATTTTTCAAAGTAATCTGCTAAAAATATACTTAAAGTTTATTATTTATCTACTGTAGCTGATGAGTAAAATGTACACCCTTTTTTTTTTTTTTTTTGAGATGGAGTCTCACTCTGTCACCCAGGCTGGAGTGCAGTGGTGTAATCTCAGTTCACTGCAGCCTCTGCCTCCTGGATTCAAGTGATTCTCCTGCCTCAGCCTCCCGAGTAGCTGGGTTTACAGGTGCAGGCCACCACTCCTGGCTAATTTTTTTATTTTTAGTAGAGATCGGATTTCACCAGGTTGGCCAGGCTGGTCTTGAGCTCCTAACCTCAGGTGATCCACCTGCCTTGGCCACCCAAAGTGGTGGGATTAGAGGTATGAGCCACTGTGCCCAGTCAGAAAACCCATGTATTTATTAAAATTCTGGAATGGCTTTATCAGTATTTACAATATTTTACAATATAATTTTATTTATGAAATAGCCTAAGCCAAATATGTTACAGCAGTACATTGACTAACCATACATCCAAGAGTGAGCAAAAAACTCTCTAAATTTGCATTGCCCTTACATTCTATCACAAGCCATGGGAGATATCTATAAAGTCTGGTATTGTGCCAAACGAATTACCTCCAAATGATCAAACTAACTCAACATGCATTTTGGAGGAGAAAGTGGGGTCAAAGGAGGATGATAAAGCAAGAATGATAAATTCAGAAGCCATAAATTGCCACTGTCACTTACTCTATGCACCAGAGCAGCAAAGTAGATCAACTGTCATATCAAAAAAGAAAAACAGGAGAAGCAGAACAATAGGAGGAAGCGAGGAGAACTCCTGCTTCTTGTGACTTGATTCTGGAATTATTTTTCAAACTAGAATATACTATTGTGTTTTTCATAATAGTTTAAAAATATCAAAAAATGAAGTTAGTCTAAAAAATCAATCATCTTTTTATTATAACCCAAATTGTATTTGAGAGACTAGTAAAGTTATTATGTCAAGTCAGAAAAACCAACTATATATAACAAAGCTCTGTAATAGTTCAGGAACATTATATCAGGTATTGAGAATAAACTTTAAGAGCCTCCTTGTACTACAGAATAAGATTCTCACCAACACTCCATTTAAACAAAACTACCCCAAACTCTATTTTCACTGCTTATGCATATGGAACTGTATGGCAATAATTTTTGTTTCTAGGAAAAACAATTGTCTGAAAATTGTTTGATCATTAACTATGACAAATTTAGCCATCTCATTTTTATTTTCACAGATCATGTTAGGAAGAAAGCTACAAAATGCCAGATTAACATTTCAAAACATACTTGAAAGTAATGAAGGGAAACTGATTCAGTTAGCAATGCTAAATAAAACAGACAATTCATACAGATGCTTTCCCTGTAAAATATTAAATAAACCCTCAAAAATGTCAACTTTTAAAATTTAATAAACCAATCCCTAAGTTATTTCTCTGAGCAAAGTTTCTCCCTGACCAAAGCACTGGTTTTATATGCAAATGTTTTCCTGGTCAGAGCATGTACTTTTTCTAAGAAGAGGGTGTTAAGTAGAATTATAAATGATATTTCCTTCTCTTTCTGCCTCTCTCCTTCTTGTCCAAAAGCTGAAATATATCAGGCTGTATAAAAGTAACTATATTATTTTGTCCCTGGCTTGTCAGTTGCAAGTACAAATGCAGAGATTTGTTCGATTGGATCCACAAGAGTGCTGAAGTGGAAATGCTTGACTTACCTGCCATTGTTTCATCAGCTCTTTTACTCCCTTGGAGTCTTCGAGGAGCCTTTCCTTATGGGTAGCATCCTGCAGGACATTGGCAGTTGTTTCAGCTTCTGTAAGCCAGGCAAGAAACTTTTCCAGGTCCAGGGGGAACTGTTGCAGTAATCTATGAGTTTCTTCCAAAGCAGCCTCTCGCTCACTCACCCTACAAAGGAACAGATAATCAGATGCAATTATGAAATATCAGAATGGTGCACCTAGTGAACTCCATAAAAAGAGAAAGATGAAGGAACTAAATGTAATATACCAACAATGGAGTGAGTTGTTGCTACAGCTCTTCCTTTAAGCAACAACTCTAATATTGTGCAGTCTATTTACTTTCATTTTTATTCAACTTAAAGGCGTTTGTATGGGGGAAGGTATGCAAGAATGACAATTACAGATTTCTATAAACCCCTCTCCACAGAGGTTTCATAAATATATATGTGAAATACATATCTACTTGAATATTTGAAAGTTCAAAGTATCTTTTTTCAATTTTGTAGTTTTTGCTGGTCTATTTTGAAAGCTTATTTAAATATACTGCCAAAGTTGAGACTAACCTTTATAGTTAAAACTCTAAAATCCCTGTACCATGCTTGTCTTTGATGCCGCCCTGAGGCAGAAAGCAAGGATTCAATATGCAAGTAGAAAAGTCAAGAAAATACAAACCTAGAGTCAAAAGGAAAAGACTAGAGAAAAATATGAAAAGAAGGGAATTGGAGGGCAAAAGAAAAAAGACTAACAAGTAGAGAAATAACATTGCATAGAAATTATCATTTTGTGCAAACTATCATTTTGCATGACACCAGTTATAACTATTGTGTTAGTTTCATAGTTAATTATTTGATCATACAACTGAGAAGATTTACCAAAATAAAAATGTTACGTGAAATGAAAAAGACTAGAGTCTTAAAAACCAGGTAGATTTGAGTTCAATTCCCAGTGTTCCTTACCAGTTATGTGATATGGCAAGTTACCTCTGATTCTCAGTTTCTCATCTGCAATGTCTATTGCTTTGATGAGAATTAAAATAGAAAATTCATGAAGTTGAGTGCCCCACATCTTATACAGTTATACATTACAGTTACTCAAAAACATTACTTCCTTCTACCCACAATCCATTTCCCCATTCCTCTAATCTTTTAAAAGGATGAAACAAACTCTCTCATGACAAAAACCTTAAAAATGTACTCATATTTTTGATCATATGTATATAAAATGCATGTATTGTGGATACATACATATATGTCCTCGGCAAACATCTACATAATAATAGCTTAGAAAGGAAAACTGCCTTAGGCAATAACAGTCCTCTTGAAAAAGATTCAGGTAAACTTTGTCTGCAATGAGGAAATTAGTACTCTATTTTAGAAGGTCTTATTTGCCTTCTATTACTACACAAACACTTTCTGGGATTAAACATAAGCTAAAAATGGAGTTTAAAAAATTGAACACTTGAATATGATACACATTGCTTGTTAAGATGTGATTGTCAATAATTATGCAAAACTGCAATTTATTTCAGCAGCAACTTTATCATGGGATGTGCAAACCAGGCAATAAACAACTCCTGCAGAGCCAGCGGCGGCAAAGCCCCCGGAAGAGCTGTTTATTCATCATGGGTGAGGTTTTTGCTGAGCACACAGTCTTCCACAGTGGAGTTTCAGTGCTCATACTGGATAAAAATCTTCTGTCTGCATTAACTGGTGGAGGGTTATGAGGATGCAGCTACTGAAAAAATGTAAGCATTGCACTGAGCTATTTATCAACTCCTAAATAAACTTTAATACTGCATAGCTGAAAGGTAGTGTAAGGTTCTGGTTGGGCAAATAAATTAAACCTCATGTAGTTCAGGGGCTAACACGGACTGCTGGCTCCCTACTTATCTAGTTTTCAGGCAAACTATCAATGCAAGGAGAGACATCAAAATAGTCATTTATCTTTTTATTTATTACGGTTTAAAAATTCAGGACCACTGCAACAACTCCAAGAATCTCAATGTTACAATTGGGCATGCACCTTACAGTTTGAACCAGGTGTAACTGCTGACAATTGACGGGATCTGACCTACAAAAGTGGCAGTTTCATGCAGTTTGCATTAAGACTTACCCCATCTCCAGTGCAAAATTTGGAATAGAAATAAGCTGTCACATTCCAGAATATAAATGCAGGGTTAGACATTTGGCATGTTTTCTAATGTAGTCCAATTTCAAACAAAATTTTAAAATATGAAATTCTCCCATGGCAGAGTGAAACTTAGAGAATTCAGTATTGTGCATTTTATCAGCATCAGCTTCATGATGAGCTGCACTTGATGCATGTTAGTTCCTCTACCCTTAAACTAGAAACACCACTTACCCTCTACTTCCAGAGAAAGTAACTAGTAAATAACTTTCCAAGAGTTATTTGCAAAATGCAATGCACATAAATCAGATGAAAGGGTTCTATGGAGACAATGCGATTTTCAGCCAAATCCTACCAGCAAGTTTGCTGCTTTGTAAATTAGGCCCTTAGGGAAGAACAGTAACTCTTTCAGGACAGTAAGGAACCATTTTCCTAAATGATACCCTCGTGGTCTGAAATATTGACAACATCAGGCTGAATATTTTCTAATTTGGAAAAGAAGTTAAAAACTCAATGGCATTAACAGCAGAAAATCTCCTCAAATGAGCTCCTTTTTAATATTACCTCTTTAATAATAGGTAAGACTGTTGTTTCCTGCTTGTGGTAGGGGTTTTAAGGCTACATTTTTCTCGGAAACCATGTGTGTACATTATACTCCTAAATTTTAATTGTGCCGGGTCTACACTAGGATGAGTCAAGAATACTTAATTTCCATATCTGCACATTCAAAATGCTCTAAATGTATCATATAAAATTTTTCTGAACCATATGGTTTTAAATAGCTTATACCAATAACATGCAAAAATAATAAGAATCATAAAGAAAATGAGACGTTTAGAAAAACCTAAAGTTATTGAATTAGATTTTTTAATAATTTCTTTGTTCAGGTTATCAAACTATTATCAAACTACAGGCTCTGGAGAAAATTTGGCTAAATTTTAAAAGTCACAATGACCAGATATTAGAAACCATAATAATGTTATGCAAACAGAACTATTGGTTAAGTACTTTTTTACATAACAAAGTTTTATAATCAGTTATTCCAGCTTTATGGTGCACACAAACAGCTGAGAATTTGATGGAGTAAGGAATAATGTGATTTCCAAAGGTTTTCATTCTATTCATAAGGGCACCCTGTACTGTTCTCAGTATGTAAATAAAGGCAGTGTGAAACAGTGTTCTCAAAGTGTACTCCATGGACCAGCAGTGCCAGTCTTGTCTGAGAACTTATTTGAAATGCAAATTCCCAGAACTCAGCCTAGACCTATTAAATCAGAGACTCTGTGTAAAATCCAGCAACCTATGTTTGAACAAGCCTTCCAGTATATGCTAAAGTTTGAGAACCACAGTTGCAGGGGACCAAATTTGAGAACTGCTGGTTTACTAGATGCTAAGCTGTGCTGCCCGGACTCCTTTTCAGGACTGAAATACTTCTTACCCTAGCTGCTGGTAGTGCTGCTGGCTGATGGTTCATTCTTATTTGAGAACTGGCCTCAGCTAAAGAGAGGTGCCTAGCTCAAAGTTACCCACTATGTTCCTGAGGCGGGCTGCACTCAGTGGCTGATGGGAGATTTGTGGGCTATAAAACCCTGTGTCAACTCAGGACAATTCTGAATGGCTCACCTACCTTAGAGTTCAGAGATCCTCCTGGGCAAGGCTAGGAAGGAGAGGGGGAGGGTTGATTGTATTGTAGCTGTGACTATATAGTAGCCCAGCTTCTCCGTCTGCCCAATCCTGCTCCCATTCCTTTTCTCTACTCACAGGTGTTAATCCTGAGAGCACTCGCCAATAAAATTCCTTCATGCTAATCACTTTCTCAGAATCTGCTTTCTGGGACAACGTAACCTCTTGAATTGTCACGCCAAACAAGGATTTAAAAAATATACTTGCCTAAGAACTGTAAGTGGTCTTCAAAGGGAACAAGATAGAGAATTCTCGCAGCAATTGTGCCTGAATTGCTACTGCAGTGTTGGCTGCCCTTTAAGGAGACCTATAGACAATGCAGGTTTGCATTATCACCAGCTACAAGCAAGAATTTAATGAAGGGGCAGAGTGTTGGAGCTATAAAGTTTACTACAACCTACACCTGCCCAAGAAAGTGTTTATCCAGAGACAATTTCGCAGGAAGAAGAGAATCACAGAGGGCATGTTTTCAGCACATCCATTTTCATTTTAAGACCTGATTATCAATGAGGCAATCAGATAAGTATATTCTGATCTGTCATCAGAACCCTACCCTCGCCACACACACATACCGTGGCATTTCTGAATAAATCTCTAAGACTCCATAGAGTTGAATATCATCAATTTCTTATGGCTAACATAATACATAAAAAGGACAAAGGAAGGGAAATTTGTTACTTTTAAAGATAAGCCTAAAGAGCTTAATTAATGTATAGACACTATTCTACTAGATATAAGGATGAAAAATAATTTATCAGTGCATTATATTGTGGGATTATAACGGTGTCTACAAGAACAGAAAATCAAACACCTCATGTTCTCACTCACAGGCGGGTGTTGAACAATGAGAACACATGGACACAGGGAGGGGAGCATCACACACTAGGGTCTGTTGGGGGGGCTAAGGGAGGGACAGTGCAGGGGGGGCGATGGTGGGGAGGTTGGGGAGGGATAACGTGGGGAGAAATGCCAGACGTAGGTGACCTGGGGGGGGTGGATGAAGGCAGCAAACCACATTGCCATGTATATACCTATGCAACAATCCTGCATGATCTGCACATGTACCTCAGAACCAAAGTACAATAAACAAACAAATAAATAAAATTACAAAAATATATTATTTTTAGAAAAAGGCTCAATCTGATATGAAAGGTTATTTTGCCCAGATTTTTATTAAGTGTGATAAATCAGGAACATTCAAAGAACTCAGTCTTCTGCTAAATAATACTCTCACTATGCCCTGGTGCCCTGGCATTGTAGACTAACCAAATAAAATATTCTGAATCTTTCCTTCCTAGTTTATTTGCAATTCAGCCACTATCATTTCCTATGATATTTAGGAGAAGGATTAAAGGA